ACTTGCACAGGGTGCCCAGACAGCAGATGGACACCACATCACTGGAACATTCAAAGTCAGGTTGTCTGGGGCTCTGAGTAACCTCAATTCGTCCCTGTCTTGCTGAGGGTTTGAAATAGATTGGCTTTCAGCCCAAACTATTCTATGATTTTATTATAGGATGGAAAGTAGAATCCTATGCTTCAGGGTTTCACACAGTGTTTGGTCATTATTTTACTCACATCCTGTTAAAATATTTTCCTGTACTTCTTTTATGTAGCTAGCTCCTGTTGACCTCAGGGTACTAAATGAGATGAGATTAAGACATTACCTTTTGTAGTACTGCCATGAAGTCAAGAAAAAATTAAATGTAGAACTTAGTTGGAAGCCCATGAAAACCTTGTCTGTCTTTTCCCTTAGGCTCTGGTTCATTAGGACCAGAGTGACATTCAGGGAAATATCAGTAGATTATTGATTTGACTGAAATCAGTAGAATATATGTTTAAAGTTAAACCCATTGTCTAATTTTGCCTTATTATTTTTTAAATCATGCTAATATGATTCAAAAAAGCCTTCTGTCCATCAAAATTCTGGTGTGTATGGATCTTAAAAATCCAGAAAAAAATCTTCACAAACACCCTTTGCATCTACAGGTGCAAGTGCGAAAAGGTCTTTAATGTGATCAAATTCAGGTAATTTCTCCTTGTTACACCACTCTGCTGTCATTGTTTGGCAAGATTCAATGCCTTAATGATTTCTTGAGGTAATGCTCCTTTTCAACAAGGTTAGTCATCTCATGAAAGAAATCATACTGCATTTATAAGGAGTAGGAATAAGAAAGTTTAAATAGTGCGTAAAAATATTTGTAGCTAAGGTGACAGTAAGGGTCAAATGAAGGCTTACTGAGAAATTAATGATCTGCAAAGAGACATTTCCTCCCTATTTCCTGCTAATGTCACGTGGGAGTTCAAGATGTCCAAATTTGTTTTAGAGTATGTTCCTCACTGATCTCAACACCAGTAAAAAAAATCTTAAATTCATTCTACATTCAGTGACACAGACTGGTGTTCCAAGAAAGACCAGTCTGCTTAGTCTGGTTGTGTTTCTTTGCAGGTAAATACTGGTGTCATGCTATCATTAGTCTCGTCATGGTTATGATTGTACATATATTCATATCAGAGAATTGCTGATAATGCTGGTCTGCTGCTCCAAGACTTGGGTCAACCTATAATTAAAAAAAGTACCATAAAGGAGGAAAAAACTTCCCACCTGAGATATTGGTTAGGTTCACTTTTCCGTTTCTATTAGCAAGCGTTTTCAGGCTCTACTGCTTAAAAGAAAATTAATCAGGAAAAATATTCCAAGGACAAATGTGATTCCATTGTGGTGCCGAAACCCGGGATCCAAACTCGAAAAGCGGGATCCAAATCTGGAGAGCGAGGATCGCCTGGAAAATGGGAGCAGCGGTCAGGACAGCTGGACTAGTCCTGGCATGAGAGATGTTCTGGGCCCATGAGGAGATGGAAGTGCTGATAAAAGTTGTATCTCAATTACATAAACAATGGGGAATAGACTGTAAGTCTAAAGATTTTACAATTGCTATTGCAAGGCTTTTGTATACTGGGGTCATAAATCAGCTAGTAAAGTTTATCCACCCTAAGGTGTGGGACAGATGTACTAAAACCCTTGCCAAAGAGACCTGGAGGGCGGCAAAAAACTGTCTGTTGGCCACCCCGAAACTGGGGGCTGGTGCTTCTACTCAGACATTGCAGCCCCCAGACGAGAGTGGCTCGGCTGAGCCGAAGGGGACACAAGAGGGCAACACGTCCCCTCAATTCCCGAATCCCGATCTGCTCTCAGAGGGACAACAGAGAGCAGAAGTTTTTTGGAGAAAGTTAACAGAGGAAGCCAGGGGTGCTGCACAAAAAGCCTGGGGGGAACCACTGCCCTATGTATCCCAAGATAGTGCTGAGCAAAAAGACAAAAAGTGAGGGGAAAATGTCCTTGGTGGGAACAGGGAACAAACACGGGAATTGATGAGTGAACATGGTAGGGGGGACGAGAATGATAAAGTACGTGAGAAAGAAAGAGAATGTGAAACAAAAGAGATAAGATGGGGGGGAAGTGTTCAGAGAAAGAGGGAAAGGAATGTGGAGGAGAGGAGAGGGGGGGCCAGCCGAGAGGGGGAAAGGAACAGAGGGTGGAACAGAGGGAGGAACAGAGGGCGGAGTGAAGGGTGGAGTGAAGGGTGGGGAGAGCCAGGAGGGAGGGAACGGCCAGCCCACAAGGGGTGTAGGCGGGGCCGGAGCCCAACAAAAAGGCACGGGAAAGTGGAAATAATGAGCCAGTTGAGTTCCGACTCTGACAGAGAGGATGAGAGGTCCAAGACTGACTCCTTAGAGGAGGAAACAACAAAGATAAAGAAGAATATCCCCCTCCACATTAAAAAAGAACTGAGAGAGGATACTCCTCTCACAGACTGGGGAGAAATAAAAGCCGCATGTGCTACCTGGGTCCCCCCAGCTGCGCAAGCATTCCCAGTCCGAGTGTCAGAGGGGGGACAGAGAGCTCACTCACCAATAAACCCCAAAGATGTTAAAACAATTGTTAAGGCAATTGCAGAAAAAGGGCTTAATTCTGCCATGGTCACCTCCCTTATTGATGGTCTTTTTGGAGGTGATGATCTGCTCCCTTTTGATATAAAACACACTTGTAGATTGATTTTTGATGGAGCAGAAATGATTGTTTTTAAACAAGATTGGGAAGACAACTGTGCCAGACAACTAACCCAGGTAACTGGGGCGGATGACCCATTGCGCAGCTCCAGCCTGCAGCAGCTGATGGGCACAGACCCAACAATGATTACACCTCTAGCACAGGCCCAGGGTCTGCGGGCCCACAAAGTTATGACAACCACTCCTGTGGCCAGAGAAGCTATTCGCTCGGCTTCTAGAGTTATTGCTAAGCTATCACCATGGTCTACCATGCAAAACAAAAGTGAGAGCTTTGCACAATTTGTATACCGCCTTCAGGAAGCTGTTGACTCCTCTGCCCTGCCCTCAGAGGCAAAAGGCCCAGTCATAGCAGACTGCTTGCGTCAACAATGCAATTCGACAACCAAGGAAATCCTCCGATCATTACCGGTAGGGTCAAGTATTGCAGACATGATTAAGCACGTCGCGAGGGAGGAACATGTGGCCCCGATCCAAGCTGCAGTTTGCACAGCAATCGCTAACGTAATGGCGTGCTTTAAATGCGGCCAGGCAGGGTTGCACACAGTCCTCTCCCACTTGGGATGTGAGGCGGCCCAGCTATGCCAACCCTGCAAGGAGTGAGGTGCTCCCAAATCCATTACCCCCCCGAGAGGCGACTACTTCCATGACTCAGCCGGTTACTCAGCCAACCTTGCCTTATCTGCCACAGGGGCAGCAGGGGTCACACTTGGGAGACATGACCCCAGAGCGGCCTTGGCAGTAAGGTGTGACAACCCACTGGTAGTATGGGAGATCTGCACCCTTTATGACACCCCAAGTGATCAAAGTATCCCCACTGGGTCTATCAGTGTTCCTTTTCTAATTGATACAGGGGCAGATGTCACAGTCATTCCGGAGACAAATTGGCCTCCACTCTGGAAACTAGAGGATGCCCCCATGGTAGGCGGGGTTGGAGGGCTGTCACAGGCTCGGAGAAGCGCACAGCTAATAACCATTACACTCCACACAGAAAAAGGCTCAGAGAAAACTATTGCCCTCTTCCTGTATGTCATGACAGGAATCCCAGCCCTATTAGGGAAAGACGCCCTAGCCTTGCTAAAAGCCAGGGCAACAAATTTACCTTAAGGGCCACTGCTGCGTACCCGCTGCCGCCAATCAGGCTTTCTTGGAAATCATCCAGCCCGGTGTGGGTCGAGCAGTAGCCCCTGTCCAAGCCTTGATTAGATGCCCTTCTTGAGTTAGTTAACCATGAATTACAACAAGGTCATATAGAGCCATCTACTAGCCCGTAGAATACTCCTGTTTTTGTAATCCCTAAATGATCCAGAGAAGGGTTTCGCCTCCTCCACGATTTGCGTGAAGTAAATAAGAAAATTCAAACACTGTTACCTATAAACTCTATGGTGCCAGAGGGCCAACCCTGTGCTGTTCTTGATATCAAAGACTGTTTCTTTTCTATACCCTTACATGAAGAACACAAAGAGTGGTTTGCTTTCTCAGTGGTGTTTCCAAGCAGCCAGCGCCCCAACCTACGCTTCCAGTGAAAAGTGCTGCCTCAGGGGATGGTCAACTCACCTACAATCTGCCAAATCACAGTCGATCGAGCGCTAGCACTGATCCGCCATAGCAACTTTACTGCGACCATCATCCAGTACATGGACGACATCCTGATTGCCGCCCCCTTGGGAGGTCAGGTAGACCAGCTGGTGTCAACAATCACAGAGACTCTAAAAACAAATGGCTTCGAAATCACTAGTGCAAAAATAAAAAAGCCCCTTTTTGGGGGTGGGGATTGCAGGCTCTTACGTATCCCCTCCTCAGATAAAGATCCATCGAGACATCAAAACGCTCCATGATGTGCAGCAGCTGGTGGGATCCCTGCAATGGCTCAGCAACATCATCTTAATCCCACTCGAGAAGATGGTCCCCCTGTATGATCTCCTAAGAGGGAAATATCCATGGGAACACAAAGCCTTGACAGCAGAAGCAATGGACTCTCTTGACTTTATCGAACAACAGGTATCTTTAAGTTCCCTTGCCAAATGGAAGCCCCTGGTACCACTCGATTTGTACGTGCACTTCACAAAGGGAGGGGGAGTAGGAACACTGGCTCAAGGCCCCCCAGAAAAAGCTCACCCAATACAGTGGATAGTCCTGGGAAAACAGACACGTGCATTTTCCCCAGGAGCTGAGTACCTCAGCAGCGTCATTATGAAAGGCAGATAACTTGCCCTGAGACACCTTGGCATTGAGCCAGCAAGAATATTCCTGCCTTTCCACAAGCAACTCTTGACACAGTAAACAATGATGTCGGAATACCTGGTGACAGCCCTGGTTGGATTTGGCGGAGAGATTCAGTATTCTGCAAAGCCTCCTTGGGCTCAGATGCTAGCTGTTGTTGACATGGACCTCCCACAAAAGGTCATAGACCGGCCCCAGCCAGGACCAACAGTCTTCACAGATGCATCCTCAACAACCTCCACTGTGGCTGCAGTGTGGCAATCGGAGGACGAGTGGCACTGTGTCAAAGCGACTGATCGTACACTCTCAGTCCGGCAGTTAGAAATAGCAGCCGTGGTACTGGCATGTGGACATTGTAACTGATTCAATGTTTGTAGCCAAGCTTTGCCTGGCTATGTCAGGACCCGGCATATTGACATCTACAGCAGCTCTAATGCTAGAAGAAGCGCTCTCCTCTTGAAAAGGTACCATATCAGTCATCCATGTCAACAGCTGCGACCTGGTCAAAGGGTTCTTCCAGGTTGGCAACGATAAAGCAGATGCTGCCGCGAAAAGACTGGGGACTCTACAAGAAGCTCGTCAGCTACACGAAACCCTGCACATCGGAGCCAAAGCACTAGCAAAGAGATGCGAAATCTCGGTTGCTGATGCAAAACATGTAGTAGCTTCATGCCCCCACTGCCAAGAGGCACCGCTGTGGTCCTGTGGAATCAACCCCAGAGGCCTAAAAGCCTCAGAGATATGGCAAACAGACTTTACATTTACTGTTGAGACCCCGAGCATGGCTTGCAGTAACAGTGGATACATACAGCGGAATAATTGTAGCCACTCAGCACCTGAAAACCAACTCCAAAGCAACTATCCAGCATTGGCTAACAGCCATGGCTTGGCTCGTCACCCCTAAGCAAATCAAAACGGACAATGGCGCAAATTTTATCTCAAAGCTGAGTCGGGAATTTGCCTCCAGATGGGGTATCACTCTGGTGCAAGGCATCCCGTACAATAGTACAGGACAAGCCATTGTTGAGCGAGCAAACCAGACCTTGAAAGCCAAGTTAGAGGTGTTAGCAAAAACAGAGGGCTTTACCAATTCCATTCCCCAAGCAGACCAGGTGTGTTTGCCAGCAACTGCACTGTTAGCACTGAACCAAATCCCTAGGGGAGATGAAACAAACAGTCCCTCCCAAAAACACTGGGCCACTCGAGCTCTAGAAGAGGGCCCGCAGGTCATAATCAGAAATGAGTTAGGAGAGTGGAGCAAGGTTGGAGATTAGTACTCCCAGGGCGAGGGTACACTGCAGTTAAAAGAGATGGTAAAGTGGTGCCCACTTAAGTCAATAAAATCAGACCTTCAAAGTAAGACTAACAAAAACTCTGAAGTTTTGTTTGCAGGACTGGATCATTGGGTGCCCGCATGATACATATGCTCCAGTGCCAGAAGGAGGTGATGAGCCACCAGACAACCCGAAGACGACCAGAACTCCTGAGCCTGTGAAACCCAAGTGACAGCGATTTCTGTGTGTAATCTTGCTTTTAGGGCTTGTTAGCAGCGAGCAGGTTAGTGCAGAACATAACCCCCATCAACCATTCAGGTGGATTTTACGCAGTGCCTCGAGCGAGGTGATTAAAGAGGTAGTCACGGCAGGCATCCCAAGGTTCTTTGTGCTCATTCGAGACATTTTCCCTGGTATAGCAACTCATAATATCCACCCTCACTTTGAGCTGTACCAGTCATACTGGTGCCCAGCCACCAACCCAGGCAAAGACTACTGTCGCCAACTAGGATATTGGTTTTGTGGCTATTTGGGGTGCGAAACAATAGTCCAGAGCAACCGGTGGGCACTACCAAAAGCAGACGAGTTTCTGCAGGTAACCTGGGGCCCAGCAGGCTGTATGTGTCCCAGTTTCAACTCCATAGGGCAAGTGTTTTATGGCTTTTATGATGACCAATCTAAAGTCTGTCATCAAATGGTCATGCAGGTCCTGCAGCCAGCTGACGTGGGTTGGACCACCGGAAGAATGTGGTCAGTTATTCTTGCATAAGCCCAGCAAAGACCCCGGTGAAGTAGTACAAATTATCCGACTCCCATCATGACACCTGAAACAATTGGCCCCAACCTTGTAGTAAAAGCTGAGAACCCACGATCTAATAGTCTGTACCCGCTGCATAAGAGAGAAACTTCTCCCCAAAGATCTGAAGCTACTGCTTTTGATTCGCTCTATCGAATGCTAGACGCCACCTTTTTACCTCTAAATCAGTCCAACCCCAATGGCACAGAATCCTGCTGGCTGTGTTATGACACACAGCCCCCTTTCTATGAGGCTGTGGCCTTTAACAACCAGCCGATGTGGTCTAATGCTGAGGCCCCAGTCCAGTGTCGCAGTGAGTCACCTTCTTGCAGAATCACCATCAGCCACATGACCGGGTGAGGGTTTTGCTTAGGAAAAGCCACTGTTGTTGACAAAAATGTCTGTGCAACCACCGTGCATGTTGACAAGTCTAAGAAATGGGCAATCGCCCCCTTGTCCGGCACGTGGGTTTGCAACCACAGTGGACTAAGCCCTTGCATCTATACCCAAAGCTTTAACTCCTCTGCTGACTTTTGTGTATTAGCTGCTATCAACCCCAGGGTCCTATACCACTCTGGAGAAGAAGTGAGCCAGTACCTTGAGCGGGCAGACGGCCTTCAGAAAAAAGAGCTGCTGACAGGACGGTCAACAGCAATGCTGCTTGGCTTGGGAGCAACCGGTGCAGCCACTGGTGTCTCCGCCCTGGTAACCCAGAGTCAGAGTCTCTAACTTATCTAACTTATCTATACTATGAAAAGTTTTAAAAGTAGATAAGTTAGATAAAATGTTTAGAGATAGATATACAGAAAATAACGTTAGAACTTTCAAGACTAATACACCTTATATTCTAGCAAATCTAGTTAGTCATAAGGAGGGGGGAAAATGTGGGGAGCCAGGGCCCAGCGCTCAGAAGATATTGGGTCGTAACGGAAAGATAGTCACCCCCCTCCTCCACAGTGTATGGTAATTGCCCCGTAATGAGCCAATAGCACCTAGCCGTGATGAAAGCAGATGGGAGTAACACTGTGAACCTAGGTTATAAAGTGTCAGATTCTCCAGCAATAAACGCCATTTCTGCCATCCATCACATTGATGTTGTGTGCGAATTGGACCGAGTGACCAGAGCGGGGTCACCGTGCTGCTCCTGAATCAGGGTGTCTACCTTGCTAAAGGCAACACCATTGTACATAGATAGAAAACCCTAGTGTTTAAAAACTAACAAAACCAAACAATTGTTCTGGAAAAATAAGGCAAGCAATAACATATCAAGTAAAATTTTCCTGCTAAAGGTAAATAATTTCCAGATAGGGCAGTTGTTAAATATTTATGAACACCAGAACCTTTAAAGAACAGACATTGTCAATTCAGTGTTCAGCTCTTAGAACTTGAAACAACTATATTAAAAGATCATTGTTTCTTGTATGTGTTATGTGCACAAAATAACTTGTAGATACTGTGTTCTTCTGACTTAATTAATCAAGGCTTATTGCAAATTCTCTTAGTGTTAATTTTCATGGCTTGAATTCAAATTGTATTATCATCTACCTTTTGACATAATTCCATACTGCAGTGATAGAAGGGCTTTCAAACATAATATTGCATGATACACTTCCGTGTTTTTCTGGCTGACCACTGCAGTGACCTCCTTTAAGAAATAGATTCAAAATTATTAGTAAAGTTATGAGATTTATATAAATACATAAAATTTAGGGAGAAAAAAGGAAGAATGCTTGAAAAATGCATTAAAATTATTTCCAGAAATCAGGACATTCTTCATACTTCCCAAAATTAGTGGAAGGTACAAAACACATAGCATAACTACAGTCTTGAAGAGCTTGCATTTTAAAGAAAGCTTTTTGGAAAATTTTTTTAGAAAATAATTATCAGAAAGAAGCTTTTTATTGAAAAGAAGAATTAACCTCAATATCTATATTAACACTTTTAACCGAGTCAATACATTATTCGTAAATGCTTGTAAGGGAAAAGCTACTTCCAAGATGACATATCAGGAACTTTGAAGTGCCTTTATCTGCTGACTGAACTGTAAGTTTCTGCATCCATGCCTATGCTGTGGTCTCTACTCACTATTTTAATCAATGGCATGTGACAACAAGGATTAAAAGGTATTCCTGACAGCTGCAGAGATGTACAGATGAGACACTAGATATAAGATACAGTCTATCTTTTTCTGGACTGCTTCTGACATAAATTTTAAACAGAATTGATGAATATTCAATATATTACCTAATTGTGATATTGAAACAAAAATTAGACAGTAATAAAACAACAGAAGATGTGAGATTTGTGTGTGAATTTCTTCAGCAACATCTCCTATGTAACCTGGCAATTTTTACAGCTGTCAAGTAGGATTCAAAATGTGGCAGGTAGCTCTTTTTAAGACACTGGAAACTGGCTTAAGGTTTCTTAATGACAACATAAATGGAAAATGCATCTTTATCTGCATCAATGAAAAATAATAAATGCATTTTCAACAACAGGAGACTTTTAAGTGCTATAATTTTTCCATTCCTCTAAAAAAGCAAGAGAAAAGCATTTATCAGGATTGATATGATTTCTTGCTCTTTATGTGTATTGTAAGCATGTCTTACAGAAGCAAAAGATTTCAAGAAAAAAAGGGTCATTTCTTAAAAGAAGCCATTTTTATTACCTAGATTAGTTTGACTTTTTAAAATGTGTGTTGGTTTTGTTTTGTTTTTTTTTTTCAATTTTCTTCAGGATAAAAAATTATTCTGGATACACTCTGCATTTGAAACTATATTAGCTTGGAAAGATAAAGTTTCACTGAAGCTCTGCTGAATGGAAATTGGGGTACAAGATCCATGGAACCAGTGGGATACAGTTCACATATTTCCATTGACTGCACTCTATCCTTATTTTGAAAACTGTGGACTGTTTTCCACATTTACTTGTCTGATTCTGTAGTGGTATTCAGTGCATTAGATAGGAATTTGCTTTTATGTGCCCAAGCCTAGAAGCCACACATTTACAGCAGAGACTGTTCCATTTTCTCCTGCATGCCTACTGTTTTGTGGATAGGAACAGATATTGGGAATAATATTTCCTAGTAGTTGACTAGGTTCAGAAGAGTCAGACAGGCTAGCTTCTCCTATTCCTCTGCTGTACCTGTCAAAGGACTGATATTCTTAGAATTACTACTGACCTGATGAAAATGGGGGTCAGGGATGGGGAAAAGGAACTAGTGGGGGTTCATGCATTCCTTTGCACTTGAATCATGCCAAATTTTACCAAATGGCAGCATGTTACTTTTGTGGCTGATTTGGCAAATAGGACATTTACCTCAGCTGCTGCATAGCAGCAGTATGTGAAATGTGGGTCTGAAAAAGCTGAGCTTCTTTTGATATGAATGATTGAGCAATGCCTATGTGAAGCAATGAGTACAACAGGGAGTTGAACCTGGGTTAATTGAAACGGGGTACCTGTGGTCTGAGGTACAATAGCCATGAAGAGTGCAGGAAGATGTGAGGGTGTAAAGGCTAAGGAATGTGTAGATAAGGCCTTTGAATGAAGGCTGTTAATAATGTTTGGAGCCTGACAGCATGCTTAGATGAGTATATTAGCTAGCTAGATAGTACATGCTGGACACTCAGTAGAAGTCTGATAGCTGGTAAGAGTAATTATAATATCATTCGGGAAACAAGAAATACATATAAGGAAAAATTGTATTTAAGTGTGATACAGTTTAAAGAGTGTAAGTGCATTAGGATTGCACATGTACATCATATTTGATTTTCAGTGTGATTATTGCTGTGTGTCATTGCCCCTTAAGAAATTCAAACATTTGAGCATTCAGTCTGACTGTGAATTGAGCTTTGGGGCTAGGCATATCTAGCTGAATCAAGTCAATTGGGATCAGAAGCATATTCTGGAGTAATCTAAAGTAGGTGATTAATGAACATTTGCATTACGGCATACTAGCATTCGTGGAAGCAGCAGCATTTGCTTTGGCATTAGGCATTACAGTTCTGAGCTACTGTTTGGATCAACTAAGGGAATCCCTTTTACTGTGTGCGGGTGACCCTTGCTAATGTAACAGTGTCCTCTGGGAGTAATGACACACACTAGAAACTGTGAAATTCACAAATACTTTGCAACAAAAAGGACTAAATTAAAGGATAGGGAATATTATTAATTAAATGTAAGGGAGATATTCTTCTGTGTGTACCTGATTAAGAGAAGTAAACTGTAAAGAATCCAGCATATACCACATCCAGGCATTTTTTCATCCATCAAGGCAGTTTTAAGCAGTTTTAAATATCTGAAAAGAATGGTTTCCTACAAACCGTTATTCATATTCAAAATTAAATAATCTATTGAAAAAAATTAGAAAAAGACACTTTTGGAAAAATTGAAGTAATACGTAACTTTTCAGTAAGTTATATACTGAATGTACTTAC